AATAGTCTTTCGTCGCCAAAAAAATTACGAAAATGCCATCTGAAATTAATTGACCCAAATCGGTGATTAATGGGCTTATCATCTGTGAAGAATAGGAACAATAGACTTCATTATCGGTGGAGAATAGCCTCGGCCTGATTCCGTGATATTTAGCCTCCAGAATCGAAAGAAAATTACATTTCGGAAAAATTGCTTGAAATCTGTGATTGTACCCCTTTGGAATCTACCAAAAATTAACCTGGAATAAATCCGGCCAAATCGGTGTTTAATGGACTAAATCATCATTGTAGAATAGCTTAGGCCGAATCTATGATCTGTAGCCTTTCATATCCAAAGAAAATGGTCTTTCGTCGCCCAAAAAATTACAAAAATGCCATCCGAAATTAAATTGGCCCAAATCAGTGCTTAATCACTAATCACTGAAGAATAGCCTCCCCTAATTTCGTGATCTTTAGCCTCCAAAATCGAAAGAAAATGGCATTTCGGAAAAATTGCCTGAAATCTGTGATGTTACCCCTTTGAAATCTGTCAAAAATTTACCGGGAATAAATCCGCTCAAATCGGTGTTTAATGGACTTAATCATCGTTTAAGAATAGCCTCAGGGCGAATCCGTGATCTATAGCCTTCAATATCCAAAGAAAATGGCCTTTCGTCGCTCAAATAATTATGAAAATACCATCCGAATTTAAATTGGCCAAATTCGGTGCTTAATGGGCTTATCATCCATGGAGAATAGGATCAATAGAATTCATTATCGGTAGAGAATAGCCTCGGCCTGATTTCATGATCTTTAGTTTCCACGATCGAAAGAAAATGGCATTTCGGAAAAATTGCCTGAAATCTGTGATGTTACCCCTTTTAAATATGCCAAAAATTTCCCCGGAATAGATCCACCCAAATCGGTGCTTAATGGACTTAATCATCTTTGAATAATAGCCTCAGGCCGAATCTGTGATCTGTAGCCTTCAATATCGAACGAAAATGGCCTTTCGTCGACCAGATAATTACGAAAATGCCATCCAAATTTAAATTGGCCAAATTCGCTGTTTAATGGGCTTATAATCAGTGGAGAATAGGATCAATAGACTTCATTATCGGTGGAGAATAGTCTCGGCCTGATTTCGTGATCTTTAGCATCCATAATCGAAAGAAATGGCCTTTCGAAATAATTGCCTGAAATCTATGAGGGTATCCCTTTGGAATCTGCCAAAAATTGACCCGGAATAAATCCGCCCAAATTGGTACTTAATGGACTTAATCATCGTTGAGCAATAGACTCAGACCGAATCCTTGATCTCTAGCCTTCAACCTCTAAAAAAAATGGCATTTCGTCGACTAAAAAATTACGAAAATGCCATCCGAAAATAAATATGCCCAAATCGTTGCATAATGTACTTATCATCCATGGAAAATAGTATCAATAGACTTTATTATCGTTGGAGAATAGCTTCGGCCTGATTCCGTGATCTGTTGCATCCAGAATCTAAAGAAAATTGGAGTTCGGAAAAATCACACCAAATCTGTGATGGTAACCCATTGGAATCTACACAAAATTGACTCGGAATAAATCCGCCCAAATCGGTGCTTAATGGACTTAATCATCGTTGAAGAATAGCCTCAGGGCGAATCTGTGATCTGTAGCCTTCAAAATTCAAAGAAAATGGTCTTTCGTCGCCCAAAAAATTACGAAAATGCTATGTGAAAATAAATTGGCCAAAATTGATGGTTAATGGACTTATCATCCGTATAGAATAGGATTAAAAGACTTCATTATCGGTGGAGAATAGACTCGGCATGATTCCGTGATCAGTAGCCTCCAGAATCGAAAGAAAATGACATTTCGGAAAAATCGCCTCAAATCTGTGATACTACCCCCTTTAGAATCTGCCAAAAATTGACCCGAAATAAATATGCACAAATCAGTGTTTAATGGACTTAATCATCGTAAAAGAATAGGCTCAGACCGAATTTGTGATCTGTAGCCTTGAAAATCCAAAGAAAATGGCCCTTCGTCGCCCAAAAAATTACGAAAATTCCATCCGAAAATAAATTGGCCCAAATCGATGCTTAATGGACTTATCATCCGTCGAGAATAGGATCGATAGACTTCATTATCGGCGGAGAATAGCCTCGGCCTGATTCCGTGATATGTAGCCTCCAGAATCGAAAGAAAATGACATTTCGGAAAAATCGCCCCAAATTTGTGATGTTACCCTTTGGAATCTGCCAAAAATTGACCTAGAATAAATCCGCCAAAATTGGTGCTTAATAGACCTAATCATCGTTGAATTATAGTCTCAGGCCGAATACGTGATATGTAGCATTCAAAATCCAAAGAAAATGGCCTTTTGTTGCCCAAAAAATTACGAAAATGCCATCCGAAAATAAATTGGCCCAAATCGGTGCTTAATAGACTTATCATCAGTGGAGAATAGGATCAATAGACTTCATAATCGGTGTAGAATAGCATCAGCCAGAGTCCATGATCTGTAGCCTCCAAAATAGAAAGAAAATGACATTTCGGAAAAATCGCCCCAAATCTGTGATGGTACCCCTTTTGAATCTGCCAAAAATTGACCCAGAATAAACCTTCCTAAATATGTGCTTAATGGACCCAAACATCGTTGAAGAATAGCCTCAGGACGAATCTGTGAGTGTACCCTTCAAAATCCAAAGAAAATAGTCTTTCGTCGCCCAAAAAATTACAAAAATGCCATCCGACAACAAATTAGCCAAAATCAATGATTAAAGGACTTATCATCCGTGGAGAATAGTATCAATAAACTTCATTATCGGTGGAGAATAGCATCGACTTGATTTTGTGATATGTATCCTCCCGAATTGAAGGAAAATGACATTTCGGAAAAATCGCCCCTAATCTGTGATGGTACCCATTTGGAATCTGTCAAAAGTTGACCAGGAATAATTCCGCCCAAATCGGTGCTTAATGGACTTAATCATCATTGAAGAATAGCCTCAGACTAAATCCGTGATCGGTAGCCTTCAATATCCAAAGAAAATGGCATTTCGTTGCCCAAAAAATTACGAAAATGCCATCCGAAAATAAATTGGCCCAAATCGGTGCTTAATGGGCTTATCATCCGTGGAGAATAGGATCAATAGAATTCCTGATTGGTGGAGAACAGCCTTGGCCTGATTTCGTGATCTTTAGCCTCCAGAATTGAAAGAAAATAGCATTTCGGAAAAATCGCCCGAAATCTGTGATGATACCCCTTTGGAAAATGCCAAAAATTGACCCGGAATAAATCCGCCCAAACCGGTGCTTAATGGACTTAATCATCGTTGAATAATAGCCTCAGGCCGAATCTGTGATCTGTAGCCTTCAATATCCAAAGAAATTGGTCTTTCGTAGCCCAAAAAATTACGAAAATGCCATCAGAAATTTAATTGACCCAAATCGTTGCTTAATGGGCTTATCATCCGTGACGAATAGGATTAATAGACTTCATTATCGGTGGAAAATAGCCTTGGCCTGATTCTGTGATCTTTAGCCTCCAGAATCGAAATAAAATGACATTTCGGAAAAATCGCCTAAAATTTGTGATGGTCCCCTTTGGAATCTGCCATAAATTGACCATGAATAAATCCGCCCAAATCAGTGCTTAATGGACTTAATCATCGTTGAAGAATAGCCTTAGGCCGAATCCGTGATATGTAGCCTTCAAAATCCAAAGGAAATGGCCTTTCGTCGGCAAAAAAATTACGAAAATGCAATCCGAATATAAATTGGCCTAAATCGGTGCTTAATGGACTTATCATCCGTGGAGAATAGGATCAATAGACTTCATTATCAGTGGAGAATAGCCTCGACCTGATTCCGTGATCTTCAGCCTTAAGAATCAAAAGAAAATGGCATTTCGGAAAAATCGCCTGAAATCTGTGATGGTACCCCTTTAGAATATGCCAAAAATTGACCCGAAATAAATCCGGCCAAACCTGTGGTTAATGGACTTAATCATCGTTGAAGAATACGCTCAGGCCAAATCCGTGATTTGTAGCCTTCAAAATCCCAAGAAAATGGTTTTTCGTCGTCCCAAAAATTACGAAAATGCCATCCGAAAATAATTTGGCACAAATAGGTGCTTAATGAACTTATCATCAGTGGAGAGAATAGGATCAATAGACTTCATTATCGGTGGAGAATAACCTCAGCCTGATTCCGTGATCTGTAGTCTCCATAATCGAAAGAAAATGACATTTCGGAAAAACGCCCCAAATCTGTGATGGTACACATTTGGAATCTGCCAAAAATTGACCCGAAATAAATCCGCCTAAATCGGTGCTTAATGGACTTAATCATCGTTGAAGAATAGCCTCAGGCCTAATACGTGATCTTTATCCTTCAAAATCCAAAAAAATAGACTTTCGTCGCCCAAAAAATTACGAAAATGCCATCTGAAAATAAATTGCCCAAATCGGTGCTTAATGGACTTATCATCCGTGGAGAATAGGATTTGCCACAAAGTAGAGTGATCATGTATCCATATGAAATTATGTTAGTGTTCATATCTTTATGGTGCAAATTAAGTTTTTCTGACTTTGTATTTTTGTTATTTACTTAAATTCTAATATTGGTTCTATTTTTCGTGTAACTGACTTAACAAATTGTTAATTTTGTACTCAAATGTGGTATGCATATACTGACCGCACAAGTTTAATCTGATTTGAATCCTATGATTTTTGGTATAGTGGTATACTTCAATTTCTCAATCTGCATCATAAACCGTTTGTATGATCCGACCAGATCGTACATCTTTCCCGCCTAGTTAAAATCAAGAAGGCTGACATAAGTTGGGTTTATTGTAGCAAGAATGGAAGTTGTAGCAACCAGGCCCAGCCCAATGAGAGAAAGAGTGCTTGGTCTCGATAGTTTCATTTTCGCAGCCCAAGCCTTTTACCGGAGGCCCATAAACAAATTGGTAACAAAATGACGATGTTCACTGTTCAGTGAGGATCAAAATTCAAAAACCTTCTTGTTGATTTTTTTTAAATAATTAATTTTGGTTTTTGTGAGAGAAGAAGAAAGGAAACAGGAAGAAAGGCGTCTTCTGTCTGTCTAATCTTCCCGTGATCAAAGCGACTCCTTTTCTTCTCTCTCAGGAAATCAAAATCAAATCCGTCCCTGTTGCTTCAAATTCAAGGAACCCTCCATTTCCCTTTGTCACAGATCCCCTGCTTTCCCCCCCTTTCTGCCATTATTGAGCTGTTCTTCGGTTACCCGTCGTTCTCATGATGATAGATGGATCCTTCTCCTTCCTCCGCCGCATCATTTCATGACTCGCGCATTGACATGTCACCGGCGTTACTAGGCACCGTCGGTGCTGCTACTTCCCTCAATCAGAACCCTAATAATTTCGCCGGTCAGGTTCCTCCTCGTCCGAGCTTGCCTTCACCTTCCTCGTCGCCGTTCTAATTCTGTGAATTTATCATCCACCAGGCGGAGGAGAGGTCGTTGTCGTTGAGGTACGACGGCGATGAATCCTTCCGGTTTCGGCAGTTTGAATTCTGGGTTCCATGGTTCGGGCGAGAACAACGTCAATAACAACATGGGCTTCCACTCGTCCTCGGTTGGGCATGCGGCGCCGGGTAAGGGAGTTGCGAAACCTAGATTGGTGAAGGTTAGAAGGCAATTGAGTAGTCAGAACCCGAAATCATCTTTGGGTCCCGGTGCGAATCCGTTCCTTGGTATACCCTGCTCTGGCGAGGCTGCCGATGGGAAGGCTGGCAATGAGGGGTTTGTGTTTGGAGCTTGTAGGAGTACTTCGATTGGGAGGTTAAACCTCGACAAGGGGATTCTTGATGAGATGAAAAGCTTGAGCCTTGGTAGTCAGAATGAGTTTCTTAATAGGAGTTCGAATGTGGACAGTGCTAGTGGTTTTGTGTCTGGGAGTGATCCGAATGCAAGTTCTGTTCTCGAAGAGAACTTAAGCAAGTTGGCGATCAACGGCCATGAGAATGCTGCCGATGGAAAGTTTAGGTCAAGTGGTAATGATGGTTCATTTGGTAGTGGGAAAGGCCCGGAATCCTTGCTGCCAGATGAGTTGATGAAGAAGTTGAATATTGGGAAGAGCAGTAGCTCTGGTAATTTTGCTTTCAGTGTGGAGTCTACAAAGGGGTTTATCTCTAAGCCTCATGAAGGGAGTAGAAGAAATGTGTCATCTGAAGAGTTAGGGAACGAGCTTTATGATCAGATGAAAAACTTGAACATGAAAGAAGCTGGTGGTGTTAATGAGGCTAATCGTAGTCATAAAGTGAAGGATGACTTTGGGAGTGAGAGGAAAGAAAGATCTGTACTTTTGGCAGAGGAAGAGAGAGAGAACAAATTGTTAGATGACATGAATTTTAAGTTGAAAATCGGAAGTGCAATGGGGGGATCAGCTGGTCCGAAGGATCCAACTTTTCCTACTTCTCGAATCGTTGGACAGGACTTGCAAACTGGAAATAAGAATGATAAGAAATCAGATGATGTTAGAGGTGTGGATGCCTTGGGGTTTACATTTACGGAACGGTTGCAGAGTCATGATCCAAGTCGCAATCACGCTCCTTTAAGTCAATCAAAAGTTGATAGGAAACAGGCTGAAGGTACAGGACCATCTACAGCATTTTCATTTGGCGGTGTTCCCTTGCCCAAGAGTGTAAATGAGAAAGAAGGGGCGGTACCGTTTGTGGGATTCAGAACCCCTAATCCAAAGGGGGGTAGCTTCTCTGGCGTAAATAATAAGGTTGAATTCAGTGCTAAGCTAAAGGATTCGAAACTTAAGAAAGGAAAGGGCAAGGTGAAGAATTCTACAAAAGTGCATCTGTTCACTGGGTTAGAATACAACTCGAAGGAAGCCCCTGAGGCTAGTGACTCGTACTCACCTATGGATATTTCTCCATGTATGTTATCGGAAACACGATGTTCCAGGGAATCATCATTGGCATCGGAGGAGTCTTTCAGCACCAATCACCAATTTGCCTCAAGTGAGCCAGAGTACCGAGAAACTTCTCTAAACGGCTCAATGGAAGATCTGGTTGTTGCAGCAGAACAAATGGACATAAATACAGCTTCAACGGAGGAAGCATCTGATCATCGTTGTGGTAAGGGTCTTGATGCTGATGGTGCTCCTCCAGAAGATTCTGTTTCTGGTGCCGAAACTGAAAGCTTTAAGTCTGCAGATGAAGAAATAGATCTAGTTAATGATGGTGTGGTTAATTCAAGAGAAAAGGAAGCTAGTTCAAGCAACTACAGCGAGAGACAAGATTCTGAAATGACCACTCAATTTTATTCTGGTGCTTGTTCAGAAGATTCAGGTGCTTCAGGTTTCAGATTTGCTGCCTCTTCTACTGCACAGTCATCTGGGAAACCTCACCCTAAAAAGAAGAATTCCCATCTTTTATTAAATACAAAGATCCCATTTGGGTCCTCCTCTTTTAAGTTGAATTCTTACTGTGGAGCTTCACCGCTTTTGTCTCCGGCCAATGACTGTAGGAATGGTGTATCCAGCCCATTGCTTTTGTCCCCAGCCGTAGACAATAAAAGTGGTTTGCCCAGCCCTTTGCTTTTTCCCCCTGCCATAGACAATAGAGCTGGTTTACCAAGCCCTTCCCCAGTGTTTGGTGATAATTCAGAGATACATAGAGGGAAGGAAATCAAGCAAGTTTCTGATATTAGCTCTGCTGCATCTGTTGCAGCACAAGAAGCTTGTGAAAAGTGGAGGCTGAGGTAATCATCAATTTTACCAAAGTTTTCATATCGGGCTGCTAAAGTATTATCCGCATTTATTTGTTCATGGTTATCATTTTGACTTGATTGGATAATATATACCATTGCTTTTTACCATAGAGGGAATCAAGCATATAAAAATGGGGATCTGCTGCGAGCAGAAGATAGTTACACTCAAGGGTTGAGTTGTATTCCCAGAACTGAAAAATCCAGGAGCTGCCTTAGAGCTTCGATGCTCTGCTACAGTAATCGTGCAGCAACGCGGATGTCTTTGGGGAGAGTGAGAGATGCACTTGAAGACTGCAAGACAGCTGAGGGACTTGATCCTAATTTTCTGAGAGTTCAACTTAGAGCAGCAAGGTAGCTTTCCTATCTTTCATACGTTGATTGGTCATTTAGCTGTGGTTGCTTCTATGTATTACAAATTTAGTGTAGAAGAATCTAGTGATGCTGAAAGATATGTTTGCTTATTCATTATAATAATTATACAGCTATTGGTGCCAACTTCGGAGTTTACTTTCATTTGTGGCGAAAGCATATACATACTTTGCAGATGGACAAAAAGGGGAAAATCTACAATTTGATTGTTGGCTATTTTCTTTATTATCTGGTTAAGTTGGCTAACATATATTGCATTTAACTGGAGTTGATATTGGTCATCTCATAAATTTTTATAGGGACTATATGCTTTTGTTTATGAATACTATATGTTTTTTTTTTTATAATAGGGATTTTACCTTTTTAAGGGCTCCTGTTATTATTCACATACTATTACCTACTCTTCTGGCTTAGTTCATTTGATACTCTAGCAATCCAATGTAACACATTAAGAAGCATTCTGCGTCTTCTTTCATTTACTAACACTATTTTTGTGGGTTTTGTTTTGTTTTTGTTTTGTTTGTTCTTTGACATTCTCAATCCAAAGTTGTTACCTAGCTTTGGGTGAAGTTGAAAATGCATCAAATTTTTTCAAGAAGTGCTTGCAATTAGGAAGTGATGTATGTGTGGACCGGAAGATCGAAATAGAAGCATCTGATGGACTAGAGAAGGCCCAGGTAGCTTTATTTCCTCTCCCTTTTATTTCCTTCAATTCTCTTAGTTTCAACCGAACTTCCATTTCTATATCTTAAAACTCAGGTACAACTCTTTATTGCACGTCCGCCCTAGATATGATGATACCAAAGATGTTCAGCCTGGCCTATTCTTTCACTGCACCAATTGCAGAACTTTCAGTCAATGCATTCGATGTTGTACTGATTTTGAATTATCTATTTGTTCTTTCTGCTGACAGAAAGTGATGGAGTGTATGCAACGGGCTGCTGAACTCTTAGAAAGGAGAACACTGAATGATGCCGGGAGCGCTGTGGAAGTTATTTCTGCGGCTTTGCTCATTAGTCCATTTGGCGACAAGTTAGTTGAAACTAAAGCACAAGCCCTCTTCATGGTTTGTCTCCTTATAGCTCTTTAAAACTCGAAACTATGAAATGTACATTTAAGAGTTCGATGGGGCTAAAGCTTTGGTAAGTATTGAATGAACTTCTGTTTCATATTGCAGCTTCACAAGTATGAAGAGGTAATTATGTTGTGTGAGCAGACTCTTGATTCTGCCAAAAAGAATTCTCCCTCTGTACCTGCTGACTATGATCCGGCTCATGCTGACCAAGCGGCATCCCCCAAGAGGGAACCCTCCTTTAGGCTTTGGCGCAGCCGCTTGACTTTTATGTCATACTTCTATCTTGGGAGGCTGGAGGAAGCCATTAGCTCATTGGAGAAACAAGGGGATCCCAATTCTACTTCTGACTGGTATATCTTCCCAGTTCTCAATATTTTTGTAGATTGCCTTCGTGAACTACTATTTCTTCTTTTCTCAATGATCCTGAAGGTGATTTTTTTTCCAGCAGCTATCTGGAATCATTAATACCGTTGGCTTCCACAGCACGGGAACTCTTACACCATAAGGTGAAATGCTTGAAATTCCTTGTGTGTTTGAACAACTTCCATTTAGTGACTATTATGGACATGGTGAAATGCTATTGATAGATCTTGTGGAGCCAGAAGGTTAAAATATTGATGATCTTTTATGTGCTTCAACTGCACCAGCTATTTTCGCTAAAGAATTTTAAACACAAGGCTATACTGGCCACCATACTTGCTTAGTTTGTCCAATATAGTTATTCAATGGGTGATTGTCATGATGGTATTAAAGACATATTCAGTAAACTTCATGATGTGTCATGTTCTCAATTACAGGTTGCAGGAAATGAAGCATTTCAAGCAGGAAAGCATTCTGAAGCCATTGAACACTATACTGCTGTTCTGTCGCACAATGTGGAGTCCCCCCCTTTCGCAGCTATTTGTTTCTGTAACAGAGCTGCTGCGTATAAGGAGTTGGGGCAACTTACTGATGCCATTGCTGACTGCAGCTTTGCGATAGCACTTGATGGAAATTATCTGAAGGTTTTCCTCTAATTATGCCTGTCTTTCTTTGTACTAGAGGTGTAGTTGAATATTTGGGGTCAATTTCCTTTTTGTCTCCCCAGCACTGCTTTGGTGTTTGTCTAAATATGTGGAGATTTGATAAACGCTTTAGTCATCAGCTGAACTTGTCACTATTATCCAGAAACCCAGGCTTTGAAATCATGAATTCATTCAGCAAGCTTACTTAACTCCAGAAGGTTTTGCAGGACTGAAACTTATTGATCAATCACCTCTAAAGTGGCTGGTCTATTAGTCATAGGTGGATAGAAACGACTTCCTACCCTAAATTCAAATCTCTAGACTGATACTAACAAAATTTATGAACACGGGGCTAGGTTCTGATTGAACAGTTAGCTTGGTCGTCATTGGAGCATATTGAAACAAACATATTCTACCGTGAAGCATAGGCATAATTTTGTTATACATAGTGGATTGTTGAAGCGGGTTGCTTCCTTTCTTGTTTGACTTTTAGTCAAATTTAGAAGTATGGTAAATGCAATGTTGGTTCCTCTTAAGCTTTGAGATTCTTTTTTAGATTAGCTGGAGAATGTGCTTTTAGCTTTCCTGATAACCATTAACCTTGTATGGTGTTTCATTTTAACAGGCAATTTCTAGACGGGCCACTCTCTATGAGATGATTAGAGATTATGGGCAGGCAGCTAAAGACCTCGAGAGACTGTTATCTGCACTCACAAGACAGGCAGATGATAAAACCAACCAGCTCGGCCAAGGCGATGGGTCTGCGCACTTGCTTAATGATCTAAGACAAGCTCGTCTTCGTCTCTCTAATGTGGAAGAAGAAGATAGAAAGGAGATTCCATTGAATGCCTATCTCATCTTGTAACTTTTCCCGAATCCTGATGAGTATATACTAGTTTCTTCCATTTGATTGTTTGAGCATGTATATTGTTCTACGGAATACCATTCTGAACTTCTTAGCACTAATTAGTATTACTCTGAATAGTGTCTTGTATCAATGGCTTGCAGGGGTGTTGAGCCTTCTGCATCAGCTGCAGAAATCAAGAAAGCATACCGGAAAGCTGCTCTGAGACACCATCCTGACAAGGTTTCTATGTTCTCCTTTTGTTGTGTATGACTTGCTTTTCATTCGTTATTCACCTTCTTAAAAGGAAAATCATTGCTCACAACATAGGCCGGTCAATCCTTGGCGAGGGGTGAAAATGGCGATGATGGACTCTGGAAGGAGATAGGAGAAGAAGTCCATAAAGATGCCGACAGACTTTTCAAAATGATCGGAGAGGCTTATGCTGTTCTCTCAGACCCTGCCAAGGTCTCTTAGCCAGATACCTTTGCTCTATCATGTCAATTATTTTTCTGTCAGCTGCTGTTGGCATTGTATTTAACTATCTACTCTCCCTTTATTTTCTCCCTGCAGCGGTCACAGTATGATCTGGAGGAAGAGATGAGGACTGCACAGAAAAAACGTGGCGGAAGCAACAGCTTCGGTAGAGCATATCAAGAGACCCACCACAACTCTCAATTCGATAGAGGTGGTGGTTCCAGGAGAAACTGGAGAGAGGTTTGGCGAGCATATGGTCGATAAGCTATTGCCTACGCCCCTCAAAGTGGCACTCTCGTTCGGATCATACATCAGTTTGATTCCCACAAAGAAGACTCCGCGGATTGGAGTCTTATGAAATGAGCCTCCGCCTAGCAGCAGGAAGCCAGGAAGGACGAAGAAGGCTCGTCGTGAGCTCAGAACCTGACCAGAATATCCGGGTTTGTATCTAGTGCCGGAATAGATTATGCTAGTTCTACACTTGTTGATAGTTGGGGGAGAGATGTGAATTGAGTTTTGACCTGTTTGGGGTTTCCTTTTTGGTTCGTTTATGGTGTTGTTTACCCCCTCTTAAGTTGAATGGGCTTTTACTTTTTACCAGTTGGGAACTAATACTACATGAAGAAATGGAAGGCAAGAGCATAGTGTAACAAGAACTAATGCACACAGAAAAAGGGCAAAAAAATTCTGTATAGCTTCAGCAGATGAGCAGATAGAAAGAGACTGAATGTCATTTGCATAGCCTCACATTGTACATTTTTTATTATATTCATGATTTCCTTTTCTTCTGTCTGGATCATTATTTTTGCTGAACTTGTAGTCATCAAATTTTGTTTTCTTATCTGGGTTTCTGCCAGATGTATAATTACATAATCCAATTATGTTGAACATTCAGGAGAGATCAATACTACATGTTGGGTTGGTTTCGATTCATAAGTAGATTGTCAACTCAAATTTTTGGTCCTTGAAAATTGATGGCATTCGGCAATAGTTGCCACCATCTTCGTCACCATAAAATCATTGAATTCGTCACTTTAACCTGTCAGGGGAACTCATACTTCATGATGTGCTTCATGCCAAAACTTCATTTCCAAGTTTCTTCTTTTCCAAGCAAACTCCTAATCCCTAACAGAGATGCGAGGGCATCTTTTCCCAACATAAGAGTGATTCACCATCTTCGTAACACCTATATTTAGAAGCAATGGATTACAAACTAGTGAGCTTCTCAAACTAGGAACTGCCCAGGGAAAGAGAGAAAGAAAAACAGAATCAGAAAGAGCAAGAGCAAAACAACAAGTTGTTAATCAAGTATACACATACCTTCTTAGAGCATAAGAAATTGCCAATTACAGAGGATGGAGTTACTTGGCTGCTGCTGCTGTTCCTGTTCCGTTGAACCCAACAGCGACATCATCCATCGTATAAACCTCTCTTGTATCTTGGAATCGGGGTAGGCCAGCTGCTGGATCCTAGGTTGGAATAGCTTCCAGTACCATGAATGTTCAGCAAAAGAACCCTACCTCTCCCGTCCTCAACTCAATGTACAATATGTTAGGTTTGTCGCCAAATCTTCTACCATAATATTCGAAGAAGACAATCTCCAGTGTCTCTGGGTGCAGGCATGTAATATGACAAATCTATTTCAAAACCATCATTTTTTCACAATCTTGTTTCAACAATCCAGCAGCCAAACAAACCCCTTAATCAAGCATTAGACAGTAATATTGCCAAACATCCCGAAAACAATAACTGACATACCAACGGCTGCTGTGCATAAGCTGCCATCATTCCACTGTAGTATGGATCCTGATAGGGGTTTGGTGCACATGTCTGCAAAAAAAGAAAAGTCGGACAACAAGGAATCAGTTATCTTAGGAAGTGAGAACAAATTGTTTCAACTCTAGCAAGCAGCTCAATCCCTAAAAGCACCCCGTTAGTTAATTCCCCTTTCATCCTTTAAAATGTGTACAGTTCTGTTTTTCTTTTGCTTTCTCTGTAGTGAAACAATGGAAGATTGTTATGCAGAAGTGCATACAATAGAGTGACCGACGAGTTCAAATTGCGGAGGCTGTGCGAGCGTCTGATCCAGAGCCGTAGTAGTCATGCCTGGAGGAACATTCTGCGGATTGGGATGCTCATGTCCATGATTCCCGACTGATAAAAAGGGACGATTGAAGAACAAGCAAAAAGAAAGCACAATGGTCAGTCCTGTACACTTTCTGCTTGTGACATACCGATACTCGAAGAAATAACAGGAAGAAACTAAATTTACATAAACTGTGAAATCTACAACTACGGCTAAAATGTCATCCTAGCTTCAGTAACTAGATAAGATCTGAAATTGCACGAGAACAGAAGCTATTAAATTAAAACTCTCATGAAACATAGGGTCGAAACATGACTAAAGCACTACAGAGATATACATTGACATTACAGGATGAAAGTACCAAGAAGAAAGCTAAAACTGAAATACGTCTGACCAGAAGGTACTTCATAAAGAATTTAATTCCTCGTGACTTGGATTATCAATCAGAATGCAAATTGTGGCATCTCTGAGTCACCTGATCGAGAAGATGCAGTAGCTTGTGATTCTTTTGCAGCATCATTGTCCTCTTCCTCGTTTGTTCTGTCATCCGAGACAGATTGATCATCAGTTGATTCAGATCCCTCGGTTGAATTTTTGGCATTTCCTATGGGCATGCCTGCAGCTACAGAGTGATATCCAACACCGCGCCACCACGGTTCAGAAGGAACTCCATACGATGGAAGGACAACGTGTGAATCTGGTGGCAGGCTATGTCCAGCACCAGGTTTCGACTGCATTGCCTCCTTCTGCTACTTCAGGCGGCTACCGATTTCGCAACTAACCCAGATGTATATATAACTGCAAAGCACCAACATTTGCAAAAGACAATTGAGGTGTAATATAAAAGTTTTCATTCTCTAATCTTCATACAAAATTGAGCTCTAGATGCCTACTAAACTCACAATTGACACATCCGATACGTGAAACTACTACGATTCCACAAGAATTTTGTACATCAAGACACCTGAAATTTAACAACCCTAGTGAGAATTTCCCATTATAGATGCAAAGCAATCAACTTTTAAGCAATCTAATCACGCCATGCAAACGCTTTACCCCCCTCTCCAACCCTAAGAACTCCCAAATCCTTCGCCCCCCATGTTCAGACATGTCTGCAGTTGGGGAAGCATGCGTGCGAATCTGGAGAACCAACCCCTCCAGCCGCCCAATTATCCTTAGCCTAACTGAAAGACTAAAAAGTCAAACTTTGATGAACAGTCGGGCGAAATTGAGGTTTTTCTGTTGCAACAATCACAAAGCCAGCAGCAATTGAAGCAAACCCGACAAATTCCACCGCAGTACACAAGCAATCGGACAAAAGAAAGAAAGGGAGGAAAACAGAGGACTGCGGCGGCCGGCTGGCGGGGGAGAAAGGAAAGAAGGGGAAGAAGAAGAAGAAGAAGAAGAAGAAAGAACCGTGGAATTCAAGGCGAAAAGGGGGACATGCAAATCGGGGAGGGAAACTGATCGATTGGAAGATCATTGAAAAGAGAAAGCCAATTAGGGGAAAAAGTAGTAGTAAGCAATTGGGAAGGGACACTTACAAGTGGGCAGGGGAGAACCCTAAATTGGGTTGGCGGGGAAGTTGAAGGTTAGACGGTGGATAGAAAGGGAGAGACAGAGAGAGTCAATGAAGATTCTTGGTGGAGTGTCTGTAAGAAGGGAGACGAGGAGAGAGAGAGAGAGAGAGCAGGGGAGGAAGAAAGGAGGAGACTTTGGTGATGACAGACAATGTGCCTCCACGTAGGTTTCAGCGGGGAGACACCTGGGTTCACACCTTCCTCCTCCACCCGCTAGCTAAGCTATAAAAGCTACAGTTTCCTTGTTGGTCTTTTCTCTATTTCATGATCTTGTCCTCTTTCTCTCCTCTGTTTTTGTCTCTTTCCCTCCTATGTCCTCTTCAATTTGAGAGAGGCTTTCAAAGGATAGTTTGGCTTGTAAATGTGGGAGTTGATGAAATCTAAAATATATTTTGGAGTGGAATTGGAATGACTTCACAAAAAAGATTGGATTATCCACTTTCTTTGGTTTGGATGTGTGTTATTTCTTTCTTTCTTTCTTTCTTTCTAAGTGAATAAGAAATCTTGTTTCTGAAAGGTGAAAATGTGAATTAATTATTTGGTCATAACTTCAATAATGAAGTTAGAGGGGAGATATGAATTGGGAATAAAGTACGAATGAGAGTGGCTGAAGAACATCAACCAAAATTTAGTTACGAAGAAAATGATAATACGAATGAGAGTAGCAGCTTAAGCTCCACTTGAAAAGTGCATGATTGTGGATACCATTATTGTACCATATCACCCTATATTACTATCATACTACCATGTACCATCATCGCATTATCAATTATTAGCCAAATATATGATTTTTTTTTGTGTGGAAAGTAGTCCGTAAATAGATTCAATCGTCTTTTCGGCAGATCTCATATTAAACACAAAAAAGCATGTCGCATAAGAGAAAATGTGGTTATTTGCCTAAATACCGATCATGACCGTGATGGTAAATGGTCAATTGTGATATAGGAGCTAAAGAAAATATGCAATCCACCATAGTGGGAAAGGCCATAACAGTTAAACACGATGGTAACCAAGCTCAGAGCTGCCACAATTTATGCCAACAACCCATGCCTCTAAACACCTTCTTGCTTCTTAACACTACGCCTTCTGCGGCCCTGATGCTGATATGTTCCCCTTCTTCCGATGACCAGAATGTTCTGTTATCAGATGAAAAGATTAGAAACCAAACAATATAAAGAAAGTGGAATGCCATCTCTCTCTCTCTCTTTCTCTGCATATCTTAACTTCATTCAGAATCAGTTTTTTTAACTGTGCATAAGTTAGTGAGCTCCTAAACCTTGCAGAGAGGAATTGTCGCAGAAAAGAGCAGGGGAAATAGAATAGCAAACTATCACAAAACAGAGGCACGTAGTTTACCAATTACAGAGGGAGTTGCTCTGCTGCTCTGAACCGAACAGTCGTAGCTGTAAATGCATGGTGAAACCCAAGCTGTGTATTATTGAGATGTTGATCTTTATACAGAGGTTTGGCAACTGATTGCCGAGATTACAGCAGGCTACTAACAGAACTAGAATGTGGCAGTAAACTAGGAACAGAAAGCTACAATCCACTAACAACATAACAGATCAAAGAACATTTAGGTGACACGTTGTGCACTCTATCACGCCCCCGCAAGTGAAACCTCGGAGAGGTGAAACTTGAAGAAAAATTGCTGAAAGGGAGAGTTGAGTCAATGGTTTGGCGAGGATGCGAGTTGCGCCAGTGCTGATAGGTAATGAACTCGAAGTTGCTTCTTGACGATCCCTCAAGTGTGATGTGCCTTTGGCAGCTGGGTAGAGCACTGGTAGTCTGACGATGTGAGAGGGCTTCATCTTCAACCTAACGGCGGTAGTTTGGCATTTGAGAAGGGGGAAAGGACAAGCAATCAAGGGGAGCGAGAAATTCTGGCAAGATGGAAGCAAAGCAGAAAGGAGTAGGAAGAAGAAACAGAGGAAACGGGAGAGGTTTGGGGAGGTCGACATTTTTATTTGGCTGGCCAATTGGAGGGTGGATTGGTTGTTGTGGTGTAAAAGAAAAGGGTTAAGATAGGGAGGGATAGAGACAGAGAAGTTGCAGAGTAGTATGGTGACTTCAAAGTGGTGGTGGGGAGAAGACAAAAGGGGGTTAATATGGAATGTAAGGGAGACGGTGAGTGAATGGGATCAAGGAAAGATGGGTTTTAATTAGGAGAAGAATAAGGAGAGAACATTGAAGGAGGAGACGAAATGGGATTGGGGCTCTCTCTCTAATTGGGGTGAACATAAAAGGCAACTAAGAAACGAGAATGAAGGAGGAAGAAAAACAGAAAGATCACAGAGGGAAAGGAAAGCTTGACAGAAGTAGGGGAGAGGGAGGGGCAACATAAGTAAGGTTGAGGAAAAAGGAAAGAAGATGCAGCGTCGGCGGGTCTGTAATCACTATTTTGCTGCCAACGACGGCGACAGAGGAAGAGGGAGTGAATCATTTGTAGAGGAATCCAAGGAAGCAGAAGAAAGAAGAAGAAGAAGAAGAAGGAGATGTGAGAATAGTTGTTTCATAAGACATGATGCATGAGACGGAAGGCCAGGAAGAAGAAGAAAACAGAGTACCTCGTTAGAGGAAATTTGAGGCTCTGATACCATGTAAATGCATGGTGAAACCCAAGCTGTGTATTATTGAGATGTTGATCTTTATACAGAGGTTTGGCAACTGATTGCCGAGATTACAGCAGGCTACTAACAGAACTAGAATGTGGCAGTAAACTAGGAACAGAAAGCTACAATCCACTAACAACATAACAGATCATAGAACATTTAGGTGACACGTTGTGCACTCTATCAGTAGCTTCCATTGTACATGGCTCGCAAATCGTTGTAGCGTGGAATCGGAGTAGGCCAGCAAGAGACCCTGGGCTGAAACGGCTTCCAATGAGGTTTATCAATTAGCGCCGGTTCAGCGAAGAACTCCATCTCCCCGCTCCTTAAATCACAGGACAAGATAGCTACACTCCTATCAACAAACTGTAAGAAGACGATTTCCGGATCGTTCGGATGCAGATCAAGTAGTACATTACATTTGTGAAGTTCATAGTTGCTACACTTTGGCCTCTCCAACAAGACTTCGTATTGTTTCCTCCAAGACTTGCGGTCCTCGTTCATCCTCCACACGGTTAGGGTGTTCCTCGAAACATCACTTCGACCCATATCCGAGAAACCACTCTGGCTCGGAATTTTTAGGCGCTAAAGGAAGGGTGACCCATTGCTTCGTGAACGGATTGCAGACGAAGTACGATCTGTCCAATTCGGCAGCAATGCCATAAGACGACTCCGCGAACCCGCACAAAATCAAGTCCTTGAAGCAATCGAAAACTCGCGGGTTCGGTCGAGCTCCATCGGGCACGGGGAGAAAGCAGAGGATCGCTTGGGGGTCGTTGGAGGGAAGAAACAGAGACGGTGGTGGTGGGTGGTTACTGCTCCGGCGGTGAGAGATGAAGCGGCGAGTGAAGCTGCTGCTGGGATCGGAGATGAGGTAGTTCCACCGCTTGCATACGGCTTTGCACAGGAAGGCGGATCGAGGGTGCGGGAGGCGGATCAGGATTTCTACCAGGAGATCGTCCCCGAGTTTGTTGATCATGGCAGGGGCAGGGTTTCCGTCTGAACAGAGTCGCCGTCGTTTTCTTGGCGACAGAGTCCGATCCGAGTTGCGCTTCTTCGTTGGCATAGTAGATAAACGGACGGAAGGATGGATTTTTTTTACAGAGAGGCCGAGAGCGAAGACATTGAAAATCCTTTTATATGTAGGGCTGCCTATGTTTTTTTTTTTTGGGTTGACTTCTCCTAACTTGATATGGATTATTCTTTCCAAAAAAAAAACTTGATATGAATTAACTCACTTGGGTTTGAATGCAATAGATATCGATTAATTATTTGTTATTATGTAGGATCATATAATCACCTCAAGAAATTGCAAAGAATTTGATTAGATTTGCTTATTGGGATTAGTTTCAAAGATTAGAAGATCACAAAGTATGAGGCGATACTTTCATGGTCATAGGAGTTTGGTTAATTGTTCATCTATTTAAAGATAGGAAAGAAATCAAGAAAGCTTCTTGATATTGTAGAAAATGGGAGTTGCATTGTAACATTATGAAGTTACTAGATATTTTCAACAAATAGTTCACATGATATAAAAAATTCTTCACAATTTTTGTGCTTGTTATACTAATTCATATGATATAAATGATCATATGCAAGTGATGAACTTCGTTGCTATATAGTGTTATTTGTGGGCCTAAAACTTCAAAAGCATTCACAAATTCCTTCTCAAAAGAGAGAAAAAATGAAACTTGAAAGAGATGTATGTTAAAATTTATTTATTTTTAAATATGTTCTAAGATATGGGAGTAAATTAAAGAATGTAATTCCAAATCTCCCCTTGCATCTCTCAAATATCCACGGCTACCCCAATTTTTTTAATACAACCAACCTGATAATATCATTCCAAAGTTATAATTCTTCTATTTAACTATGGGTTTCTTTGAAGGGTATACAACAAAATGTATCCACTCACAAGTTCATGGGGTTTATGGACTTGTTCAAGGGTTAGAAACTATTTGCTAGTTTCTTCTCAACCCGGCTAGATCCATATTTACATGAGTTTGAGGTAAAAATACAAGTGATGAGAGCTAGGAGAGAAGCAAACCTATCTGAGTTGATGAAGACTCTTGATAGAGTTACTAGTTTGAACGAGAGTGAGCAAGACCTCAAAGCTCACATCCTATCATTTCAATATATCTTTAGTGACTTATCTACTAGGAATTTACCAGTAATCGATGGGCGGACAATGGCGATGGAGCAGGATTGAGGATTGAACACATGGTTGAAGAGCTTGAACATGTTTGGGGATAAAGTTCCTACTAAGCTAACTAAGAAAAACTAGTTGATTTGGATACAGAATCTTATGCAAGTGCTTATTTTATTATGCTAGTTTGTTTTGGATTTATGTTGAACTGCTATAAGAATGTCTGCAATTTGTTAATGAATAATAAGGCCTCTCATGTTGGCTGCAATTGAGGATGGGGATGGTTGATATGCTCTGAGAGCCATTTATTTCAATTTTGGATTGTGAGATGTTTCATCTTATGCATTGACACCTATTGACTAGTAACTGAAACGTTCTGCATTGTTCTCCTCTTGTTTTCAAACAACAGGTGCTTGTCTTTTCAGTGTATTTATGCTATGCAATGAAACATGAGAACACGCCTAGGTGTGAGAGAGGGGAACAAAGGTGTTATGGGACAATCCAAGTACCACATCGGTAATACAAGGAAAGGAATCCTTGTA